TAGAAAATAACATGGCAAAAAAATAATACTGTCTGAGAAACAAAAAAGAACTTGCAACAAAAACACAGCAGTGTCTAAGAATCCAGTAGATAACTTGTATGAAATGTCTCATTGTCTAAGTAAAATACACAGAGGACCCTAACAGTAAATGTAGTGATTAATTGATGCTATTTTTATAACATTTTTTGTGCTTTATGTTGTTAGTGACTCTGTAACCAGCAAAACCATAAACACATAAGCAATTTGGTATATAAACAGTTTAGAATATGTGTTAAAAAGTATGTATAATCCATATGGTCCCTGTGAGTAATTCTAAAGTTGAGGACATAATTATACAGAACTGTACATATTTAAAGTAACACAAAGACACCAAGCCTTATTCTCTTATCTTTGCCATCTGTCATGGACCAACTTTAATCTTAACTGAAAAGCTAAATTAAACTCAGCAGCATATGTTAGAAAAAAAACAATTATTAAGATAACACAGTATCTGCTACAATGTTATCATTCAAAAAATAAAACAAAGTTGGTGTTTGTAAAAACTCTTCTGTTACTCGTAGTTTATAAAAACGTTTCAGAGTTAAAGAAAGTTACACCAATTTCTGTAAATTAGTCTTTGATAAAGTAAACATCAATCTTAAATACAATACAATTTTTTGACAATCAACCCATTCTCATCTTCCACTTTCTTATAAAAAAAATGTTTGAAATGTAATATATGAGATTAAATTTTAACGAATTAAAATTTCTTTCAAGGACTGACTGCAATCCACATCTCTGATAACTACCTTGGCTAACTTCTTTTCCTCCTTAGAAACCAAACTTGTTCTAAATATTTAAATGTTGTTCTAAAACAAGTTAGCATTGGTGTAGTGACAGATACCTTTCCTATGCTCTTGATGCCTCGAACCAAGCAGAAAAAGATGACAACCCAACACGCCAGGAGACACAAGGCCAGCTGCCACTTAATAGCACCAAGGTCATGGAGCCCCTCCGTCAAGTCCAGAACAAAGTTACTAAAATGTATTAAATACAGGTCACTTAACTTAGTTGTATAAAAGAGACTTATAATGCTTAGTCATCTAATATTAAAACTCTCACTGTGAAACAATCTTACATTTAGTATATCAAAACAGTGTTAGAATGCCTAACTATATAAACATAAAAAATGACAATCACTAGTAATTTTAAATGTAATATTTTCATATAGATTAAATCCCTGATTATTTTGCATCAAACATGAAAATATTAGATTCAGTTACTTCACTTTTTGTATCAAAGATGAGCTATACATGAGACACAGAGCTACTTTACTTTTGTGTGTGTCACAGGTGAGCTATACATGAGACACAGAGCTACTTTACTTTTGTGTGTGTCACAGGTGAGCTATACATCAGACACAGGGC